AGATGAAGAACGAAGAGAATGAAAGTTGAAGATTTACGAGTGTGCCGAGACTCTTAGCACTTCTCGAGAAGATAGTCAGCAGGATGGGACCAATAAACGTACTTCTAAAAACAGTATGGCGGATACATAGAGCAGGAGAGAATCTTAATGGAGGATATATATGTATAGTGTATCTTCAAAAAGCAAAATTACATTAGGATGTACTGAAGATCGATATACGCATAAAAAAAAAAAAAAAAAAATGAAAATTATATTTTGAAAATATTGTCATTTTTGGGGGATTCTTTTCGTGGTAATTTTAGGACGCGGCGCAAAATTCCAAAAAATATATTTCTCTTGGACAAAGTTTTGCCAGACCATTTGAATGGTAGAAACTTTTTCAAAAGCATCAAGTACGGCTAATTCAATTATTACAGGATATAGCGATAGTCACGTATTATAGGTAGGGTCACTGGGCAGAGAAACGTTATGGGTGTTGATGTCGAGTTCGCGTGCCAAAAAGCTATTACCCAAGATGCCTCTGGTAATATCCAATATTCGTTTGAACCTTCGTAAGCACCTAATACGTTCACGAGGGCATTGTTCACTAAATAGAACTACAGCGATCGTTGGCTGATAATAATTTGAGTTTTTTTTTTCCAAAAATAACAAATGGATCGGACGCCATTTTTAATACTTTTGGTAAGATGGATAAGTTTTTGAAAATTTTGAAAATGAAATTAAAAATTTTTTTTTGCATATCACTCACCGTGCAATCCAAATAATTGACTAGGTTTCGATTGCGCGAACCAACCGCTGTATAGAAGAGACGCTGAGGCTAAGGATGCTGCAGAGTATCCGGTAGGATCCGTCAAATTTCCTTCGGGGTACGTAAGTCCTGTGGCGGGATACAAGGCTCCGGTTAGTCCTGAAATGATGTAGGGGTTTTGAATGAAGAAAATTTATTTTGAATTATTTTTCGCGATTTTCACGAATTTTACCTGTATGAGCAGCTGGTATTGCCGTCGGCCGTACAAAATGGCTTCTGTCTTCACGCTCGTCTCTGTCTTCTTGATCATCCTCGAGATCTCTCTCAGCCTCCCTTTCTGTATCTTTGTCGTCATCTCTTCTCGCCGTTCTACCTAGTATACTGTCAATGGAAAATGCACTGGTCGCTGCTGCTGGCGATGAATTTCTTTGTTCGTTTTGTCCTCCTGGATATTCACGTGAATTTTCGCTACTCGAATCCGACACGTAACCCGTCGGTTCGTGAGAGGAATTCGGCGAGTTTATATCTTCCTCCTGGGTATCACTCTGAACACACACTTCGTGAAGTGTGTACATCTCATCGATATTGCCAAGAGTCCGTACTTGACGAAAATCCCGAAGTGCCCCGTGCATCTTGTCATTTTGATCTCGAAGTTCCATTTTTGGTAAAGTCATGAGTACCACATGTACGAGTATTGAGCAAATTTCACTTTGAATTTGTCAAAAAAAAAAAAAAAATTACACTGTCAAGCACTAATTTTATCTCCAATTATTTATCATCCCTTCATTGAGTGCACGAAGATCGGTGTAGCACTTGTGAAAAAAAATTTTTTTTATATAATTTTTAATAATCACTGTTAAACTGGGTTTTAATGTTGTATTTGTTCGTTTATTTCAAAATTTTTTGATTGATCTTTCATTGATGTGCCACGTCATCAGACTCATCTCGTACTAATCCGCAGCATCTTTCTAAACCTACCGAATGCAAGCACTTCCGAATGTATGACAGGTGGCACGTGTCTCGTGGTCCAGGAGGACCACCCTGCAACAGCATCCCCACCACACAGACGCTTCCAGGGGAAGCTTCATCCACCGTCCAGATTCGAGATTGGAGCCACATCTCGCACCTCAGCCTCTCCTTTTGCTCCTTTATCCGGCACAGACCGCCTATCCCTCCACTCTCTACTGGCTACTGGAGCACGCCACTGTGTGAGGGAAGGGGTCAAAGGGATGGGCTTTATTCATATAGGGTTAATGTTGATTTAGGGTACCACCATGTGTACCAGTTTTAGCTGGGTACCCCCGTTGGATTGGTTCAATTTTCCAATAGAGACTATAATCTTGAGTGGGAAGATAAAATTTGAAAAAAAATTTCAAATTTTTATTTTCAATCCTCATATACCTTTCTTCCAATACATACAATTTGGGGTTGTTTCGATTAATATTTTTTTTAGCAAAAATATTTTTGTGGACCTATACAGAGTTATTCAATAGAAACGCGTTAGGAAGTTATTCAATAGTTAGCGCGCTCATTAGAGTCTTACAGTAAAATCGTGTTCAGGTGGTGCGTTTGGGCTGAATATTCTGCTATAGCAATTGGCACTTTTTTCATTTTTATGACTTATGTCTTATGTCTGTCTAGGAAAATTTTTATACTTTTTTTTTTTTTATCAATTCGACTCTAGTCCGTGATAAAAGGGTTAATTTAACCAGGGACGATTTATCAAGAAGACAATGGTAATGGGTCTGGCGGCGGTTGCAATCTCGTGCTTTGAAAAGAGCGAATGATTGGCGAGAGTTGGTTAAGTGCGAGGTAACACGCTTTCGCACCTTTCCTTCGTCTTCTCATCTTCCTCCCTCTTGGTCCATTTCTTCTATCCTTCTTTATCCGTGTCGCGTTCGCCTTCTCCTAGTCTTTCTCCTCCCTCTATGACTGGCTCCTATGCCTTTACTTCTGCTTCTACCTCTACCGAAAAACCATCTCCCAACACCTGATGGCGATTCTGAGTGGCTCCTGAGATCCTCAGCATCTTCCAGCCTCTCCGCCCCCACGCAAACACACGCCAGCAAATAATATACCGAATCCCACTCTTTTTGAATATTTTACACGTTCATTTTTCGAATGCTGTTACTTTAATGATTGTGACTGTCATACTTGGTGGTGGATGAAAATTTAAAAAAAAAAAATTCATAATTTAATACATCTTTTCATTGGTCGCGTTGTATGAATACACGTGATTTTTTTGTTGTGATTTACAATATTTTTAATTATATTTAATATAACGCTTTCGTAATTCTTCATTATCCATATTGATTTTTACTGAGATTCAATGTCGAGTGGTGTGGAAAATTTTCGAGGAATAATTTTGAGTGGCATTTTTCGTGAAAAATCCACAAACGGGGTATCGGCTTGATGTTAGATAAACAGAGTTCTTTTTACATGGAACCCAAGACCATTTTCTGATTGGTCCATTCGGCGCATGCTTTTCCCAGTGTATCCGCCCTCTAACCCCCTAACTTGGGGGTTTGTGTCAGCAAACTAATGGTTCGCTCTCTTCCCCCTGAATGGTACAGCAACGTATAAACGCTTCTGGTGCTCCTGCTGAGAGAACGACGTGCAAAACCACGGCAAAACACTGCTTCACGTGTTTAGTAATACCTGGTGCAGAGGTTCTCAAAGAATTTCAGCCGAAAAAAAGCATCCCCGATCCAACCAATATTGTCCACCCCAAAATACCCAATACATCAATTAAATTCCCCAAGCGACGAAAACCCATGAGAACCAAAAACCCAAAATTCCCACATACCGAGCGATGGGTAACCCCCGAACCTCTACAACCTAAGAATTTAATACTAACCTAAAAGTTCCCCTTTGACAATCCTTTATCAGAACCTCCCACTGTGCCACATTCGAGCCTAAAAAATGGACCAACATGAGAGACTCTGAGCCTATAAAATATGGTACTATAATTCGCTTAAGTGATGCTCGGGTTCTTGTAAATAACATGGAATCTCAGCAACCCCAACCCTCAAGCCCCAAACGCCTCTAACATCCACTCACTCTGTGCTCCACTAGACGGTGAGGTACGCTTGCGTGCAAAAAGGAGTTTCGTATCGCCGTACACCCACTATATCGGTAGTATCGTTTATCGAGCTATATTGAACTACACCAGCTCCGTTTACGGTCTGAGAATGCCCACCATTTTCACGAGTAGCACTTCCATTAGTCTTCGAGACATCCCTGAGAATTTCAATGTTCTACCTGGTGTCCCGTAAATCGACGATGCTTTTGAGTTTCTCCAGTTGGCAACTGAAAAATAAGAAATAAAGGTAGCAGGGCAAAGCACGAGTCCTCGGAGCATAAAGTGTTTAAGAAACAAAATAATAATTCGTATCGAGATAAAAATCGTAAAAACCATTGAAAAAAAAGAAAAAGAAAACATTTAGTAACACGGTATATTTACCGATACAATGTGTGAATGGAAACTCTTTCCGAATGGAGGAACCGCAAAATTCCATCTAGTCGTCAGAAGGAATCCATCTTTTTTTTTCTTCACTTCCGGGAACGCAAATGAAAAAGCTGTGATTTCATGTGACTTGGTACCGGTTAGAGTCCCGTGAACAAATATTGAGTCGAATATGATGGAGGCCTAAAATAAAGTAAACCCAAGAATTTGTTCGTTGTCGCCGTCGTTGGTCGTGAAGAAAGGAAGCAGCGACACGGTGGATGCACACGAGCGTTCACGTGTCCCGAACGTCAAGCTTCCTGGAAATGTTCACGTGTCACGTGAATCCTTAATGTCTCTAATGCAAGAAGAACATAGATGCGTATTAGCGTCTGGTGGAAGAAAAAAATATAAAAAAAGAAAACAGAGAATTAAGGAAACAGAGACCTGCGGTGCGTGTGGCTCTTAACTGAACTGCGTCATGGCTGATGAAGACAATGTGGATTCTCATGAAGAGGAATGATAGAAATGTAATATTTTATTTGATGGAACAATTATTTTATATATATATATATATATATATATATATACCTTTTTCACATACGTCAACTATACTGTATGGTTTATCGATGATTTTACCAGGAATATTTTCAACGTCCGATGCACGCTGCGCCACGTAATTGAAACAATCAATCACGCACCTGAAGAGGCAGCTAAGGGTGAACTCACGCATTTACCAGGAGGAAAAAGATTCTCACCTAAACCAACCCCCATAGATATCACATATGACGCATAAGCGTGAGAGAATGTTCCCATGAAAACATCCTATACCCATGTGTGTCGTAGAGTGGTTGGTTGGTTAAAGTGTAAATGTTGCAATAATAAAAAGGGGTATAACTATAACCAAGTACGATCCTTAATATTTGTACGAGTCCATTTGATCCCTATGGCCACTATCAGCTACATTCAGAGGGCTGTAGAGTAAATAATTGTTATCAATAAATTTCGTGCCATTCGTAAAATTATATTTGATATGGATTTCAAGGCAATTTCCTTGTTACCGATATGGCTGCAGACACCTTCTTTACCCTTGGTGAAGATTTTTCGAAACTGGGGAATAACCCAGGGGTTTGCCAGAAACTGGGCGATTAATTTTCAAGCTCGGTGTGTAACTGGCAGCTATAGGTGTATAAATATAGCCACTCTCGCGAGATATTAGACAGGTGAGCCAGTTCCCAAGGGAACAAAGCCCCCATTACCCCATCTTACCACCCTCTGGATCCGAACACCCCCTCTGCTTCGGGCTCGAAACCCTCTTCCTAAAACATTCATAAGAGCGCTGTAAGTGGTTTTTAATAAACGTATTTAATCACGAGTGTCAGATTTCGTGTAAATCGTTCGGTACTGTCACCAGACGATAGGGGATTATGGACAGGAACATATGTTTATATATGTACTTAATATATTTACATATTGGGTTACTGTATCATTTACAGATTTGGTATTCATTTTTTGGTACTTTTTTTTTTTTTAATCTCACCGATATACAACAATTTTATATAATTATTGACGCGATCGACGTACTCCTGTGATTGACATATTATTATTATTTTCGTGTCAAAGTACTTTTAGCTTCAAGTATGTCGGGTACGTAAAAAACGTGACAGTTGGTACAATTATTTATGCGGGAACTTAAAGCATTATCTCATTCAGCAGCGTGTCGTTCTGCTTCCTTTAAGTGTCACAGTATTTTTCCTCATGTCCGGTTGCGAGCACAGAGTACCGTGGGTCTCTCGTAACTATTTAATTTCATAAGAAAATTCATTTTGTGTTATTAATAAAATAATAATAAAATCAGTGACGATGTTACGTTTATCGTGCACGTTAATTCTTTGCGGATACTTTGGTATTTACGCCGAGGAATGTTACGACGATGGGAATGAATTTTGTATCGATCAAAATGACATACTGGCCGTGGATCTATTGCCTGGATCACTTTTACTCATGGATCAATTATCGAAATTTCGTAACGGATCGAACGACGGGGTTAAAATGATTTCTGACGGATCGTTCTTCAAAGCTTTTGATTCCATGGATTATCACAGGTGACGACACTTGCGCTGTTGAAAATTGACTATTGAATTTAGTATTATGCCAATGAATTGGTTTTATCTGCAGAAAGAGAATGAACGAATATTTGTGTCACGGTTTCGTGGCAGAAGAAATTTTTAAGGAGGTCGGACCAACCAGAGTGAAACGTCGTCCTCAGTTGCCGTCGGAAACGTCATTGATTGATTTTTTGGGCGAAGAAAATATTACAGTTCACGATAAATTGTTATCGGACGAAGGAAGCTCAAAGTATAAGGATTGGCTACAGAGGTCCATTAATATTTCCGATTCGTCATTGTTGATTGCATTGATTTGGCGATGGACGAATAATAATATAATTTTTTGACAGAACAACAACGCTCGATGACATTTATCGTCATTACGCGCCAAGAAGAAGAGGAACGAAGAGTAAAGATGTTCGACGCGATGATGAAGATGACGATGAGCTTGATGACTTCGATGGCGAGGTGACTGGGTACGTCCTGCCAGCACGACTGCCGTCTGGTAAAATTGGTAATAGCTTCGATTTCCACGAAGGTAATGACAAGATGGGTTTCAATGAATTAGAATTTAAAATAATTGAAATTCCATTCGAAGATCATCTGACGTCACCTGCAGGGCACAATTTTCATCACGGTGATTATATCGGTCATCACGCTGACTTCTATCCTGCCATTCACCAAGAGGAGTATTACTATACTGCTCCGAATCATCATGACGACGATCATCATTATTATCAAAGACCTTCCTCATACGGTAAAGGAAAGGGCCATGATCTTTCGATAAAAGACTTTTTTGAAATTGCCTTAACGGCTTTGGCATTTTTGGCCTTTGGGCTTTTCGTCATTCAATTGCTGATTAACGTTACGGTGAGTTCAGGATTCAAGTTATTTATGCGAAATTATTCTATGATTTCGTTGTTTATTTTTATATCCCTAGAACGTCACGACCGTGACTGCTGCTTCTCTTCTCCAAGCAGACATCGACGGGACGCGTTACAAACGCCATGCAACGACTCGATCGTCATTATCGTATTCCGGTAACCAGGAACTGAATGAACTTTCCTTCAGAGTCTTGCGCTCGATAGAAGCTGCGATAATCGCCAATCAGGATACAGGAAATTGTCTCAGGCGAACGCTCTGCGTGGACAACAGACTTTCCAAAGAATACGCAACTGGTCAGAGAATCTGGGTTCCGGTGTGGAGGTCGGTTTTTCTTGTGCATCTGAAAAAGTCGGTAAATGTCGGTAAAGATGGGATTATTTTTATTACAGTCTGGGTATGAGCTGGATTTCTGGCAGAGTACTGGACAAATCACCATGGTCGGCAATGTTGGACTCTGTAAAAGCTTCGGTCTTGGGACTTGGTGGTGCAGATTGCGAAACTCTGTATCCGAACTGTGACCTCAAGAGGGAGAGAATCAAGAGGCGTCGACGTCGAAGGAAATGAATGAGAATATTTCAGACACTATATATAATATACGTTGAGCAACAAGGATTTAATTAATTTAATTAATATTATTTTCAATCGATATACCTTTTATCGGTCTAATTGACCGTTCGATTATTTGACGTTTCGAGCTTTGATTCGGATTGAGTAAATGTCAATGGAGCTGGTTCCCGTGGGATAGGTAACAGTGTGGCGTATCTTGATCCTGAAGGACTCACGTGAATCACTGTTCTATTTTGTCTGTCTTGCAATGGACGACAATTCGATAAAATTGGTTCATGGTTAAGATCGTTAATATTACGAAAATCTGCTATCTATAAGAAAGAGAAAAAAAATGTTATTTACTAAATTCATCATTCGTCAAATTATGTTTTACATGGAAACTTACCTGTTCCATTGATATTCCTATTGGCTCTCTGCTAATGAGCCAAAGTGCACTGTGACTGGAATGGAGAGTCAGTATGGAGCCCCAATAGACGAAATAGTCGTTTGTAAACGGCCTTAATATAGTCGTGATACTTTGTGGTATCAAGCGAGTCGACGTGCGTGGATTCTGTATGAATGGTAATGCCTTAATAATTCCATCCAATAAGGGATTGGCTGTTGACTGTAGCTGAAGAATATTTTTACATGAAAACAAAAAGGGATTAGGACAGTTTTGAAATAATTATAATAGCCGTGTGAAAAAAATGTTTTTTATTACTTTAAAGAAATAAACCAAAATGGCTATCCCGTCGGTATTTCGTAGTGCTACCTCTTGGGTGAGGTAATCACTTTTAAAATGAACCGCATGCAATTCCATTGGCAAACTAGATAACGACAGTGACCAGTAATCCATGGGTGTTGATGATTGATCTTTTTTTTTTATTTTTGAAATAAATAAAATACCAATACCATATTTTACCTTCCATTATCGACGGTGTGTTCACTTCCCTTCATGTTGGTTGGTCCCCAATGAAAATGTATTTGTGAAAAAACATAGTTCCCAAGAAACGGTCCATCTGCTATGAATGGACGTTCTTGTTGCCATTTGGCACTTAGGATAACTTTTCAACAAATCATTTACTGACATTCGGTTGGCTCAAGATTTTAGAAAAGATTTTATCATTTTTGTCTTATTACCTGTTTGTCCTGTATTTGTGAGCTTTAACTTTTTTGGCGGAACTTCGTGATTGTGCCACTTTAAACTATTCAATTTCATTACCAGCATTTTACTCATGTTCAGATCAATTGGCGATTCCAGTTTTGCATCTTCCTCTCCTAATTGCTGAATGAACTTGACCTTATTGATATTCTTCTTGTAAACGTCTATACGTGAGTTAGATTAAAATTTGACTTATTAGTTTAACATAAAAATAGAAACCGAGTCTATTGATCCGGTACCTACTGCTTTCTTCATGATTCCATTAACAGAAAAATGACTATTTTAGGATATGTAAAACCGATGACAGATCAGTGAAATCGTATACGATTCGATTTTGAGTAAAATTACACAAAATTCAATTGTCGAGATATCAATGAAGTTTCTCCCTATGGAGCTCATAGATTATAGTAAGTGGCTAACTTCAGATTGTAAAAATAAAAAAGTTCTGCTTGAGCTATTTGTCTATTGAAAAAGATGGATCACGGACGCAAGATTAAGAAACCTCCAAGTCATTCAAAAATGATAAAAAACCGATCGCTCAAGTATTGTACAGCTTTTGATCCACCCGTGATACCGATCGAGCCGGTAATCGAGGATCGAAGATTGATCAATTGGAAGAAGTGGCTGAGCGATCGAAACAAGCATTACGATCGATACAAATCGATCTCTGGCCGTCATCAGACCAATTTGATAATGAATTCCTCAGACACATATCGGCCTATTGTCGAAATGCGAGATCTGATGGATTGCGCTACCATTTCAGTTCCGGCAACTCACGATAAGTACAGAGGCAACCCTGCTTTTTTCAAAATGCCAAATTCTCTCTCGAATCACAATAACGACTGCCTGCCCGATGTGTTTGTAACGTTAACTAAGAGAGAATTGAATATTCTGCCTGAGCCGACTTACGTAGCCTTGCCGAGTCTGATAGAGGAAGAAAAAAATGTGGTATCTGAAAAAAAATGCGAGCCCTCCTGGAGACGAAGCAAATATTTGCAAAAAAGAGAAGAAGACTTAGCAAAAACGATATCAATGTTGCGGCCAAGCGAAGAGGAAGTGAAAGGGTTGATAATCAAGGGTGAAAAAATGGGCGTTGAAAAGTCCAAAAAATTCCAAAGATTGCCCGTAATAGCAATATCGGAAGGAATCGACGAAGAAATACAAAAATCGGCAACCGATCGATGCGAGTCTGTGATATTGCAAATTCAAGAACGTGAATTAATTCACGATAAGGATTGCACAGGTACGAAAGATGATCAAGACTCGCTTCGCTGGAATTTGACTTTTGAAACAGCCTGTGGAAATCGTTCGGAAGACAAGATTGTTCTGGAGAACAAAGGTACCGTTGTCGTCGAGTACCAATGGCGAGAAGAATTGTCCCCAGAGTCAATTGTTCCATTAAGAAAACGAAAGAGTAGCTTCTACTTCAATAAGAACAACGGACTGATTCTCCCCGGTCAGAAACTCGAAATATCAATTTGGTTTTGTACAAACGACCCGGGTGTACATTTAGAAAATTGGCGACTGGACACCGACCCCAAATTACATAAATCGTCCTTACTCTTCCGTTTTTGCGGGTATGCGTCCAGTACAGAATCGACGAACCAGTCGAGCAACGCGATAGAAGAATACTTAGATGACTGTATAAAGAGAGCGACGATCAGAGAAATAATAAACGATCTTATAAACAGCGTAAAGGCACCAAAGTCCAAAGAGCCAATATACAATAATATGTTTTTGTCAAGGGATCTATTCGTAGCGAAAAATCCGCTCTACTATTACCATTCGAGCATCGTTAACGAACTGAAGGCAATGTACGACACCGTAAGAAAGGACGATTGGCCACCTTGGAACTTTTCGCTAACAGACCTACGTGCTATTCTACTAAACATTACCAATCCCAATGAAAGAGAAGAGACGCTTCTAAGATTCGGCAAGTTGATTCGCGAATCTTTGAGACCCAACGTGTCAATTTACAACGGGAAAAACAACAAGTACACAGCAGTCTACAACATACTTTGTTCGTTCGCGAACAAATTTGAACGCGAGAGTGAATTCGTGAGGACGAATTACTCCGCGTTTAAGACTAAGCGGACGTTGCGCAACGACCAGAGCGATACATCGAGATCAGGAAAAGCGTCTACCTCGATATCCACGCAAACCGTAAAAAGTACAAAAAGATCGAGTCAGACTTTGCGAATACAAGAAACTTCGTCAAGCTTCGAAACAAGAGCAAGCAGTCGAATCTTGGAAGATAAAAATATAATATATGGACAGATGTACTTCGTACGGATCTACGGCCACCTTGAAGATGCGATCGATCAAGCGTGCGCGATGATAGATTCTCTTAACAATCTTAACGAGTTCGACAAGTGACAGCGGATGTTATCGGACGCAATTGACACGTGCGCTTAAAATTAATTAGGTCCTAGGAATGTATAAATCTATATCTAAGAGCTAGATCGGGTAAACAATACAGATTCGCATCAGCGAATAACAATTGGATGACACTATCGACTTAATGACACTATCGACAGGCTTGATTATTTACATTTATTAATCACTCCCCATCGTCAGCTACGTAATCGATAACTTTGTACGAGAATGCGAGTTCTCCAAAACGGTCGTTCTGAAGGATTCACCAAAAAAACAAAACAAAAAAAAAACCTGTAGATAACTTCAAGCTCAATGAAGATCAGCCACGTCGAAGGATCGCGCTAAAAGCCACAATTGTCAAGCGGCGTCTCTCGCGAGACACCGAGGAAAAGTCTTCGACCGAGGAGCAGCGTGTAGAAGAAGGAAAAGAAGTGGCGCGCGGATAAACGGACAGGACGTATACCGGGTGTTATCGTATGTCAATGCTACTGTCACAAACTGCGTTTATTTTTATCATTAATGTATATTATTTATTATAAATAAGTTAGAAACATTGAATTCATCTTGGGCTTTTTTTTTGCAGGTGTTTACATTTTATACACACAGAAAGAATACCCAACGTATTATGCTTTCGGAAAAAATGTATACTTTTCTCTTTATCCCCTCTTTTGACAAGAAATGATTTACAAATGAACTATAGCCACAAATTGCGTCATTCGCTCGCTTCCCCTCGTGTCTGTCAGGCAACAAAATTTAACGCCGCTCTAATCGCTCGTCACACCCCGGCCGCGTGTTCACCTTCGACGGAAAGAGAAACAAAAAATAAACACGCAGCCCATGCAAGCACGCATTCCCCATAAACACTCGTATGCAATACGCATTGTCAAAGAGATTCGTAGCTGAATCACGTATCCACGGTGACCGCTCGCAGGGCGCCCACGGCGTCGTCAAGCGTCGCGACGGTCAACTCGCGCGACCCGTCGCGCGCTACGTGCGGCAGGTGAGTTTTATTTTCTACCCCAAAAAGAAATTTACCCACAATTCACACTCGCACGGAGTCACGCGCATACGTATATACTAGCGCTCCCACGCAGAGAAACGCGCGCGCGCGCGCACACGCACTCAGCATCCTCCTAGTCGAAAAATGCATACACACACGCACATATACCCATGCGCGCGCGCGCATTCACACACACTCACACATCTCGTCGTATAATCGTACGTCGCACGTGCACCCACACGTAAAACCAAGCAATTATTATTATTCAATATTATTTGTTGTTATCTCTTAATATTATATTTTTATTCAATGTATTTATATTTCTCTTCCATATAAACTCAGTGTCTCGACTGTAGTGGGTTTATGACGTATGCTGCCCCGTGTGCGTGTGGCATCGGCTTCCGGTTGCAAGAGTCAAAGCGTGGCATTCGGACTGCACATGTCTGAATGTCTCGCCACCTCGTCCTCGGCCAACACCTTGTGGTATGGGGATAAAAGGAGGGGGGGGGGTCAAGGGTCAAGGTCCGGTTTGAAATTCTCCTCCGGAGCTACTTCTGTGTCGCAGGAATAACGAGGAGGCCAGGTGGAGGATATGGGATTCGATTCTGGTAGGGATGGTGTTTCGTTAATGCGCGAATATTCTCTGGTCCCGCGGATTCAGTTTGCACCGTTGCGACCGGAAGTACGCGCGTGGTCGGCGCTTTGGGATGGCGCGCGGTACGCGATAAAGGCGAATAATAGGTTCGTTGATTTCTTTCTTCTCTCTCTCCTCGAATTACTTACGAGGGGTTATCGTCTTCTGGTACGATCGCGGCCGGCTGCGGCAACGGTGCAGACCTGGCGTTTCACTTGGCAGGCCAGAGATTACAGGCAGCGGGCAGCGGGCAGCGCGCTGGCCAGCATGAGCGAGCGCTGGCAGTGAGCGGTTCATACATACGTACACTGTGTAAGGTGGATACGAGTGAGCGAGGAACAGGGGGAACGTATTTTGGTGCACCCCCACCGTATGCACCTCCCCGTGTTACTCGCTGCGCTTTTACAAGGCTGTGTCGACGGACGAGGGCTGCGCGCTGGACGAGGAGGATCCTGATCACGTGTTTACGAAGGCGGCGCCCGCGAGGTACGAAGAGCGAAGGGTCCGAAGAGGAAGTTCTGTGTAACGCGACTGTACGTGTTTACGAGGACTTTGTGATTCCGGCAAAGAGAAAGTCAGGATCAAAGGATTTTCATTATGGAGGCTGGTACGAAACGCGGAATGCAACTGGTGCAGCAGCCCTCGTTCAGTGAACGTCAGCGCAGTTAAGATCAGAAGGGAGAGAGATCAGGTGGATGGACCTGAGCGCTCTCCGCCTCCGAATTACCTATAAAGTCACATCGAAACAGATGCCGTTCCCTAATATTCTTTCTCTTTTTTCTTTCTCCGTAATGTTAAAGGGGGCGAGGGGGAAAGTTTTTCTTGTTGTTGCTGTATCTTTGACACTATTCTATCTTTCATTTTTATATATTATATATAACAATATTTATATGATGAATTGTGAATTTGAGTCACATGCAGAAAAAACTTTTAGTCGTTTCTGGCACAGATTAAAAAAAAAAAACAAAAAACACTTTGGCTTTGCATTCTAACGAAGGACTGCAATATAAACACCACACTAGTAAATGGCACTAGAATTGCTCTCACTTGTGTCACCGACTACTCGTGATAAAAGCTTTTTGTCCCCTTTCGGCTTCTACTCGCGCGCTGAGATCTCTCGACTCGAGACGGACATACGGACAGACAGGACGCGCGGCCGTGCTGCTGTTTGTTCTTTGTGGGTTGTTGTTGTTTTTTTGTTTCCTTATAAATTCTTTATATATATATAAAAAGAAAAGAAAAAAAATGAGATTGAGGCGATGATGCGGTCAGCCGGGCTCGATCAACTAAGCTAAGCTATAAAAAGGTAACAAATTCAACAAAGAGTACGAAACTAAATCAGTTTGTTGGTGTCGACAGTGAAAAGGTTAGGAAAGAACGTATAACGCTCAGATTTAAGTCCTTGTTTGTCGCTGGAATCCCCATACATATTTATCTAGCTAATGTTGGTACACTCGTGATGGGAGCAGCGATGTATGCTGGTGGCACCACAAGTCAGTGTTTATTTCTTGCTTTTGCTCTCCTACTTTGTTTCCTTCTTCGTTTCGTTTCTCCTCGTCTTCGTTCTTCCTTCGATTCTTCTTCTTCGCCTCTTCAAACATTCTACTTCCCTTAACGCTTGCCTTTGCCTTTTCTCTTCTTCTTCGTCGATCTCGTCGTTTTCGCTTTCCCTCGATTAAAGTCCGTATCGATGATGATGGGCTTTTCCTTTCTCTGATCTGGGCTACATGGAAACAGCTTAATTTTCACTCTGGCTATCGGCACGAGTTCCTCTACACCAGATTGTATTCCTTCAAGTTCGATTGGAGAATTGTATCTTTCACCGCCGCGAATACGAATCTGATGTTTTCCGTATCTGCGAAGTAATACAGAACAATGGGTTAGATTGTGACATCGAATCCTTAGCTTTCTATGACACCATGACGTAACATCCGACATTTTTAAAAAACCACCCTTTTTTTTTCACGATAGCAAAAGCCTTGAGGCGTGGATAACGTCATGGTTTGATCATACTATTCTTTTTTTTTTCGCTACTACAAAAACTCACCTCAGAATCCAAAGATGCACCATGCAAATAGCAAAGATCATGCGGATTATAAGCAAAATTAATGTTGGTTATCCATCGCCAAAGCACGAACGATCATGTATTATTTTTCGAAAAATCATCATTTCTCTGTGAGCGTGTTAGGAGGGCTTGATGATTATTCAATGGTCCAACACCGAAGATCAGTTTGGATAAATTTTTATTCGACTTCAAGTAAATAATGACATCAGATATGTCGGATACAATTCTCGTTATTTACGTGAGTTAATGGAATAGTGAATTATAATGACAATTAATAGCGACAATAATGAGAGTTAATTAACGAGACATGCGATATTCGAAATATATTATAAACGGGGCATCATGTAAGAGTTTGTAATTTTACACGCGATACACAGAAATTGCCTACCGATAAAGCTTTGTGCAAAAGTGAATTATTGCCTCTGGTAATGTTACGGATAGTCGATGTGTCACGTCAAATTTGGATAGTTAAAAATTAATAAAAATCACTGACCACCATAGACATGCTCTGAATTATTGCCAAACTGTAAACATCAGGAAATAATGGCATTCGTGATTGAAAAGAAAAATCTATTTGTCACAAGTTTCACCACGATTGGCAGTGCCTACTTGTCTGTTGCGAATGAAAAACTGTTTCTGTTGCAAATGGCATACGATATTTTCGTGTGTCGTGGAATACGTTGCGATAAAGAAAAAAATAAAATGCAACAGACAGCGGTAGGCAGTGAGATTACGCAGGTAAAGCAGCTACGAAGAACCGCCATGACGTCACACATGATTCGAGTGCATCATTCGAAGTCGCATTTTTTTTTAAGCCAAATTAAATTCCTTAAGTGCACTTTGCATGATAGTGTCCTTTACGGCGCAAAACACAAGCTTGATATTCTCCGTGTCTATGAAACAGTTCCACATGTGCAGCATGCAACGTATCACATAAGAAATTATTAAACATGAAAATAAAGAAGAATCAAGAATCATCGAGGAGAACCAATGAAAAGTTACGTGACAAAAATTGATTTTCTAAATCCATATATCATTTTCTCATCAATTATGAGAGACAATTCTTTCACGGTATTCTGTAAAATATGACAATTTTTGTTTTTACAGTCATGTACTACATTGGTTTTCCTATGATGACGTAAAACAGGTTTCAATGAAACTTAACACCTTAATTATTAGTAAGGATAATGTTATGGGTTCGATACTGATACACAGGGGCAAGCAATGTTACAGCAGATACATGCGTATAAGGCATCTTCGGTGATTGCAGCTTATGGCCTACCTGTGGCGCACGTGAAGTGGGAATAAATAATCTTCTCGCTATCCGGATTCAAATCAACAAACATCCTCAGAATGAATTCTCTAGCCGCACCGGCCTCCCTCTGTGGGCCTGCAGAATATAGTAAGCGTAGGAGATGGCATTACGTCTACGTAAAATGCATTGATGATACAAGAGCATAACATTTACCACTTGTAGATTTTTGTTTGTATCCTACAAATACATTTATAATGAAATCTTACAAGAGAATAGCCTACGAAAGGATAACAGGAAGAACTGGAATTTTGGTATCCTGTGGTTTACAGCGGAAGAGAGTACGAGGGGAAAAATAGCAGTGATCGAAAACTATTGCTTTCAAGATACATTACAAAAGGATGAAATTTTGTGGTTATTCATCTTTCCAATGTTGTTCGCAGTTACTTATTCTAGATTCAATATGTGCATCAAGGGCAGCTTATTGAATTATGTTTGGTGATATAGAGGAAGCCCTTCGGGGGCACTGTTAAGAAGCTTTGCACCCTTGCGTAATAGTTTGAAACTACTCGATTAGAATTACTCTGAGAACCTTTACCTTCCGACATGAAGAAACATTTACTTCTTGATACATCGGAGTACTTTTTACTGTGCCTTTTAATTACTTCTCATTGCGTTTATCGTTATCTGGCAAAATTACTAGAGCAAATGATATCTACTTTTTTTCACTCGGTACCAGTCGTACTTTAACAGACCTGTCGCGGCAGTGAAGTGAGAGTAGCACATGCGGTCAGGATCAGGATTCGCACTGAGATACACCTTTAAGATGAATTCCCTTGCTGGTACGTCTTGCTGTTTAGGGCCTAGACCGTATAAAACTCTATTCTTTACTAACAGTAAAAACCGATCGGTAATAAATAAAATTAACATGAATTAAATTGGCGAGATTACTATATTTCTCTCGGAAAGGAAGAATAGGAAAATCTTTGTATTATTATAACCTAATTTCCCATACGATGGACAGCACCTTGGAGAACCTTTGCATTGTTATTGCATAGAAACGACACGCGGTACGAGACACTATTATTGGTCTTAGGAATATATGTTTTCTTAAATAAGATGCATGTAAACTTACCGTCGTACTCGGGAAAATAGTCGACGAGATGAGAGTACATTATTTTCTCCTCAAGCAGATCTTTCTTGTTTAGGAACAGAATAACGGAGGAGTGCTGGAACCAGGGATATGTTATGATCGTCTTGAATAGCGCCTTACTTTCCTCCATTCGATTCTTAAAATGTGAAAGGGTTTGCGCATTAGATTATTATAATCTTCCAAATAAATCTAGAACGTAATAATGATACTATGGACGTACCTCGTTTTCCGACTCAAATAGAATTTGATCGTATTCACTTAAAGCTACTAAAAATATGATGGAAGTAACGTTTTCGAAACAATGGATCCATTTTCTTCTCTCTGATCTCTGTCCACCGACGTCTACCATCCTGTAAATATTAATTGAATCAATATTATCATATATTTTCGTGATAGAAATATTGGATTTTAAAGCATCCACCGATTTCGTTATCGCGTTCTAACGTAGACGATTTACGTTATCTACGAACTGTCGATGAAAGTGATAATTAAGTATCTATATAGATAGACTGTTACTTTAAATAAAGATATCTGACACAGACTGATACACGGTGAAATTACATACCAAACCATTGATATTAATCGATTAAAAAGTTAACAGTTCATTCGATTAATCTCTACTTTAAAATATAAATTCGTAAAATTCCTTTCAGCAAGTACATATAATTAATAGGTGGTACACGAATATGCATGCGTTTCTTCCCAAAGTTTCTAAGTAACAAATAAATTTATCATTGTCAAAAAAGGGGATGCATTCAAGGAACATATTAATATTTAATATACATGCAGCACATGTGCTACAGAAATTATTTCTTGGACAACCAGATGCAACGACATAAATTGTGCTTAACGCAGTAACCGCGCATTGTCAGAATGATTCCAAAAACTGTCATTCGCAAAATAAGAATAATAGAATAATCGAATCAGCATAATAGACACGATTAAAAAGACATACAGATATGTGTCGAGATTAAAAAAATTTAATTTTCAACAACCCGCTACCATACGACTGTAACGACACGTAGAAAATGAGCTATTGCGCATCGGCACGTAACATGAATATTAAAGTTTAAAAAAAAAAAAAGAAACTGGAAAGTAAACATGCTTGTGTCTATTATAAATATTTTTCGTTTAATGATACCCCAAACATTTAATGCTCCATTCCAGAGTGATGAGACATTACCAAGTAAAAAAAAAAAAAGAAAATGAAAGATCATTAATGAGTAATATCTCGAAGCGACATTTCTTTATATCCCATTAGTAAACTAACAAAAATCTGACTCCCATCCGTAACCACGAATTAGTGAAGTACGTTACGGTGTTAAATAAAAATAATATATAGATATTATATAAAGTATAAGGTGCGTGTGTTAGTACCTAAAAATGATGGAGTCCAGATCAAACGGGTATTCTATAATGCCGGTAGTGGGAGCTCGAGCCCGGAGAATGTCTTGCTCGGTAGGGAGGAAGTCAGGCTTTTCAATACGGTCTAGGTCACTAAGATAACTGCAAAACAAACCAAGCCACAGTCTTGATGGTGCATGCCGTGCAAATATTAAGGGTGATTATTTGAAATATAAAAATAACAAGAACGGTAAGCGCATGCCGGATCACTCGGGTCGCCTGTAAGAATGACGCCGTATTCCAAGAGACTAGAGATTGCGTTAGCTGGTTTAACAATACGACAAAAATTTCCTATGATTGTCATTGACGAAAAGTTGCATCGTACTGCGAGTACGCGAATCGGTGCTACGAAATCAGTAGAATTTGGAATTTGGGTCGTGGCCTCGGTGAGAAAGTAAAATAAGTCGAGGACACGAATAGTGAACGACGGTCGTACACAACTATGAAAATTAGTAACAGTGAGTCACAACAGAGATGCAGACACGATGCAGAGAACCGGATGCAAGTAGTTCACAGGAGCAGGCAGCTCTTCTTCGTCCCTTCGTGCTCTCTCAGACATACCTAAACCGGATCTCTTCCAAGTCAAAAGGATATTCAATTATACCAGTGGTGGGCACTCTCACGCGAAGAATGTCCTGTTCTGTTGGGAGGTAGTTTGGTGCCGCCACTCGATCTATTTCCATCAGGTAGCTGCAACAATTCTTTATCAATATTCTGTTTCACGCTGATATATCGCGAGGCCCAGCACGAGTGACTCCGGAGAACCACAATGAAGAAGGAAAGAATGGAAGTAAAAAAAAAAAAAATAGCAGATCGATTTTGAACCAATGAAAAGGACACTGCCAACTTTACATGGTGCCCCATAAAAATGGTCAGCTCGCAATTTGTCAAGAATCAAATACACCAAAGGTTATATCGAACTTGAGCAAAAGTGTTCGGTGCTTAGTTTAATCCTGTAAAAGAATGTTTAATCACGTTTATGATAATCGAACGCTGCCAAAGACAGTCTTCTCACCCTTGACTCATGCAGATTAATAATTTACATTGAAAACCTCATTACACCGTGTCAGCGAGTGACAGCAGAGGCCGTACTTACTATTTGGCAGAATCTGTCAACTGGTACTCCCGCCGACGGTCGTAGCATTCCTGAATACCAGCATCTGCCCACAAGTCTTTTATGGCCTCTACGTATGGGCTTTCGAATGTCGTGACTGTTTCGAAGTCCACGCTTCGTATAAGCTCTGCCTTTTCCTAAATCAAGAGAAGACACGTGTCAATCAAATTGTCTTAAGTATATAAAATTCCAGGTAAAAGCATGAAATTCTATACTCACTATATTCGCAGACTCCGCATACTGAATCTTGAGGAGGTCCATTGCCCGGATCATGGACTGCATCGCCATGAAAATATTTTGGTAGACCAGCTTGATGAACCCTCTCTTATCCTCGTCCGAGTATCCAGATCCATGGATAATTCTCATCTGCTTGATGAATGTAGATTTGCCCGATTCGCCGGTGCCTGTAACCGATCAATTTTTTATCATTAGCCTCATTGACTTTGCACTATGTTTTTTTTATCAGAAAACTGACAGCCGACGCTCAGCAGTGAACACGTGGAGGAGTTAAGGGGAGGACTTTTTAATATTCATAGATACAAATTGTCCATGCACTACTTCGGTCACGTGTACGGGAGACGATAGAATTTTTTCATCAGTTAAAAAAGCCATCTGTCCTCGGACACCTGACAATGTTACCATATTATATTAATGCGAAGTGTACTTTTTTCGAAATCCAATTTCACCAGGATGCAAATTGACAAAGGTGACGTTCAGCGTTCTGCGACTGTTCAATTTTCCTCTTCTCGACTTGCCATCCGTTAATACAAAACGCATGACGCTAATCGTATATAATCTTTGGTAGCTAAATGTATGTCTTAGGAATAAATGGGCTTAGCCTTAATTATTTTACGAGACGTTGCGCCAACTAGATCATGCTTTAAAGAGCTACAGCATTTAAAGGCTAGCACCAATTTAAATCCCCTACAACGCACGTGTTAAATAAGCCCAGAGCTGGCACCATTCATATCCAGCATAAAGGAGCGATTACAGTGTTAATAGTAATTGGCCATCGCTGTCCATACAGGGTTCGTCTTGAGGCAGTAAATGTCGCTCGACTGACATTTATTTTATTGCATGGAAAAAAAAAAAAAACAATGAAACAAAGAAATCGATCGTGCCTTTTCTAACGCGTTGGAGACTGGTTTGATAAGGCGAGGAAAGATTGCATAATTTTTTTAAATATCCAAGTCCAGGTATGTTTTGTCCAAGGAATTAATATCAAAACACATCGGCATTGCCCAGGCGATGTTACCGATTGAAAAGTTGCGAAATAAAAAAAATTTCTAATCGCTGGGACAAGCCGGATTTTGGATTTGGATCGTACACACAATGGTATCGTTAAGCGGGTAATTTCGCAATTTCACGTCAATTTGCAGATCCTTTCGGCAACGATTGGATCTGCCGGTTCGGCCAGGTCCGAGATGCAGTTGCACGTGGGGTAAATTAAATAAAGGATACCGGGAAGCTGCACCGCATTTACGGTAATCAAATGATTACTCATCGCGTGGTTGATAAAAATAGCGAAAAAAAAAAATCACCGCACGTGATAAAAAAAGTCGGGAATCACATTGAGAGATGAAAACAAGTAAATAAAGGAAATCGCAAAAACCGCATGAAAAAAAAAACCTCCAAAACATAATAATATACATATATATATATGAATCATGAGATAAAATCATATTAATTACGAGTTAGGGATGCACGGGGAAGTACAGGGTTTTCGAAGAAAAGAAATGACGAGTAACCGGTGTCTCCGGTACGGAGCAAAGAGCTCGTAGAGGAAACCGCCTGTACGAGCCACACGAGTAAATAAGCCCAAAGAGACGTGAGCGGCTATATATCCCATTTCCCGTGCGATTTGCATTTAAATTTGAGAAAACATTCCCGCCGCCCCTCCTCCTCCTCCTCCCGCCCGTAATAATACGAAAGTCCAGAGGACACGCTGAATTCACAAGATACCGCTGTTCAATAATAATAATCAATTATTTAATCATCCCCATATCCAGATCCATATAGGAATCTGATATCCCGACGTAACTCCTACGCGACCTCCTGCAAGTCCTTTCCTCCGGGATACGCGATATTGAATTTACAGAAGAGTCTACTACGACGGCACGAGCTACGGAATGGCATCGCCTCTCACGCCCAGCCAACCAGCTCGAAAGGCGGCGGCCGACCCGGTGTTCCAAACAGCGCGGTGCGATCGGTTCCCTCGGGCAATTTTCGCAGAATCGTCAAGCCCCAAATTGACCGCCCGATACCGAGAAGACTCGTGAACGACAAGCCCGTGTAAAAGTGCCCTGGGTTAGACGGATAAGAAGAGAAATGGAAATACGTGAAAAATCGGTGAAAAGAAAAAAAAAAAATACGAAAAAGAAAATTATCACATACTAAATTACCATGCACAGACGTAAAATTGCGTTAAAATAATTTTTATGTCAAAATTTCATAAAATCACCGTAAACCATTGACGAGTGATGCCGATGAGAATGAAGGTTTTACGAAGTAATGCGTACGAGAGAGACAGACAGAGATAAATAAATAAACGTAGAAAAGGACATCGGACGTTCGTTTATAGGGCGTCGCGCGTGTCCGGAGCAACGGGAACGTCGCGATGCCGTTGCCGACGTTGCTACGCGCCGACGCCGTCTGCCATATACACGCACGTTACACATATACGTAAAACGTGCGCAGCGCAGGTGGCGTCGCGGCGGCGACGGATCACCTCCGTCCTCGAAAAGCATGAATGAAAGCGGCCGCAGGCTGCGCTGCGTGCCAGCCATAGCGTCGTACCACGCGCGAATCCGACGTTCGCACACGCGAGCGACCAGAGTCACCCTCTCGCTCGCTCCCACCAGCTCGAACTCCATCTCTCTCTCTCTCTCTCTCCCCCGCATCGCCAAACCACCCACTAGCTTTCCCAAAGTCCTCTCTCTCCCTCATCTCAACACTCGCCCAGAGCCCCCCCCCCC